AAAAAAAAAAAAAAGGGAAGAAGAAAAAGAAACCTAATACCTCAACTCCTCTTCATTATCAAATTAGGCCTTCTCTGCACTTAAAAGGTTTGCTGGTAGAGCTATACCAGCAACATCCACACCCCCCTTCCCTCCTTCGGAAACACAGCTTATATCAGCAAAAGCTTCTTTTTTTTCCACTTTCTGTTTGTAGGTTAAATTAGCTCCCTGAACGGAAAGATCTATGTCAGCAAAGGGATTTTTTTTGTTGTTGGCAATATAACGGCGTCTACACTGGGGTTTTGCTGGCAGAGCTGTTAGTTAGGGCTGTGATTTCCCCCACCTCCCCCCATTCCTAACCGCCATAGCTATGCTGGTAAAACTTTCTAGGCCTTAGTTAAAATAGTTCACCCTGATACAGAATAATTAAAAGAAAATTTATTGTAATAATTGTATTTACGATGCACCCCACTGCTGAGATCCTCAGGTGCTGCACAGTTTAAAATACAGTGAAGACTGGGACAAATTCTAAATCACCTAGGGGATCTGGACACTCAGTCCTCATTAGTTTTAATGGGATTTGAGTGACCCAATATAGTTGGTAGCTTTAAAAATCTCAGCTTTTGATTCTAGTAGTGTGGTATGAGGGCAGATTTTGACTTATTAACAATTTAAAACGGTGTCTAATTCATTCACATGTGCACTGAAAACTCCAAGCAGTAGCCTGTATACACTTTTGCCCACCCTAAGCATTTAAAAACGAGTCAACTCCTCAAAAATCATGATACTGAAACTTTTTTTTCTTTTTTAAGTGAAAACTGAGATTCTCATGTAATTACATGCCTCCAGGAGTTGGGGCACTAAGAAAAACAGTGAATATTGTGAGTTTGCAAAACTGTGCATATGTTAATGTATGAAAGTATCTGAAACATTCTGTATTTCTCCATGGTGAACCATAGTTCACTAAGGACAATACTGCTCAGTTGCTTATTGAGTCACAGTTACCTATTTCTTTGGTTGGCTTTTTAAATTGACTTCTTACAGAATGATTAACCTGGGGACTCTACAGTGAGTGGAATTCAGGTAGGCACTAGCACTGATTTTAAGCAAGGAGTTGTTGTTGTTGTTAAAACATATGTTGCTGTTTCTCCATGGAAAGTTTTGTTTACATCAAAAACTTCTCTCCCCACCCCCATCTCCACAGCTGCACAGAAGTTTTCATTAAACAGGAAGTAGCACCAAAAAAAGAGAGAGAGAGAGAAGAAAACGGAAAAAACCCTTAGCAGCAACAGTTAGAATGCAGATATCAAAGTCAAACTTAGTTATGTTGAAAAACTATCTGACACGGAAGTCTATAATTGCCAGTGTAAGTGTTTTGGTTTTCAAGACACACACAGCAACCATACGCTTTCAAACTGCACAACTCTTAGGTTAGATACAGGGAACTAACTACACAAAGAAAGTGTGTCCCTATTCTGAAACTCACTGCACCAACTCTGCCTTATAAATGTTCAGTAATGGTGAAAGATGTGACTCTGCATTTTTATGCTGTATAATAAGTATAATATATACAACTCAAAAGCTAAGACCTTAAAAATACATCTCACATCCAACTATATACATGGGTGATGAATATAAAAACAGCGCCAAGGTGGGACAAAAATTCATGATCTACCATAGACTCAGTGTGTGATTTTATTTTATTTTTAAGAGTGCTGAATGATGGACTCACTCTACTCCTATCAACGTCAATGGGCTGGGAATTTTGCCATAGACTTTAATGGGAGCAGAATTAGGCCAGTGCCTAAAATCCAATTTCAAATGTACCATCTTGCTCCAGATGCAAATGTATAACATGGTACCTTGTTGTAATAAGTTAACAATATCATATCTTATTAACCTTTCCTTTCTGATTCTTAAATATTTACTATGTCCTTCATAGATTGTAAATTGAAATTACTACTGAGCAGCAGTGACAATGTTGACTGTATTACAGTTCCTCCTTAATTTTTAATTCCCCGTATCCTCCTTATCCAAAGCATTTCACTACTGCCTTCGGTATCAAAGCATTGCTGCCTGACTTGGTACACATTTTTGACACTCTTCCCCCTCTTCTTTCTATTCCTAGTTCTTTTATCTATGCAGTGCTCCTCGGAGTTTTTGTTTTCTTCTGTTTTAAATTATTTTTTTCTTTTGTAAAATAGAAACAAAATACAAAAGTGTTTATATAAATTAATAGAGAGACAAGAATAACTTGTAATGAAGAGAAACTGGAATTGGTGCATACATATTATGTAATTGTTTATATTTGAAGATGTTGCATGCTGTACATAAAATACCAGGTACTTAATGACTCTTCTGCCTTATAATTAAAGTAATTATTCCCTGGATTCAGGTGCTAAGAACTCAGTTTTGACATTTCATTTGAGAGAATCATCCCACTAGTTTTCAGTTATGCCACTATGTCATACTCTCCATCATTTAGTATCACTTTTAATTCTTATTTGTTCACCTTCCTGTATTTGTTTAGAGATACTTAAGTATAAATATATTCCTCTTATTTTTTTAACCTTTAATTTTCTTCTTTTACTTCCTTAACAGGATGACTACATCTTCTGTCTTGTTTTTTATGCTGGAAGTAATTTATGTGAGTTTCCTCTCTCTCCAAGTCTAAAACCTGTCTCAGAATTCCTACCATCTCTTTTGTCATCATCTCATGTTTTAATTAAGAAAATATAAAACCATGTCACAGTATCCTTAAAACAATTACTCAGGTTTCAAAGAGCATCTTAATCAAATTTAAAGTTTACCTTTCAGGCATCTTTGTTGTCCCTTATTTTTCTTGATTTTTTCAATCTTCTTATCTGTGTCTCCAGGGATAGGTTACTGTATAGTCCAGAAAAGTATGCCTTGCTTTTATAGAAATGTCATATTTTATTTAAAAAACAAATAGATTAACTTTTCCATATCAAAACTTTATTAATATTCTCATCATAGGGCCTAGAAGCCCTAGTCAAGGACTAGAACCCCAAAGTGGTAGGCCTCAACCAATGGAGGGTAGTAATTGAATTTTTTCATTTTTCACTCTGGGCTTAAGTAACCCCATAACAAAAGAGATTGGCAATATACAAAAAGTTAGTTTGTGAGTACCCTACTCATATGGGTAATTGCTCATCTCACGTAAATAAAGGCGGGGGACCTTTGCAATCTTGCCCAAAGAGTCACAAGGATGGTCTTGCTGGCTGCCAAACACATCACAATCAAACGTTACTAAAATCCCTGCCAATTCTGAGCCCAGGAAGTTGTTACTGGAGGCCAGAGAGAAGGCATCATTCCATTTCTACTGAAATCCAAAACTTTCCTCTTTGCATTATCAGCACTTCCATTGGCTAATCGAAAAACCAAACTATCATTTTGACTAGATTAGATACAAAAACCTTATTATTAAGTCATACAATCGGTTATAATAAGGGACAGATTTTTCATGGCCATTGTACAGGTGCACAGGGTCTGGAGAGGCATTCTCTTCCCCCTTACATCCTATCCACAAGGACTGGGCACAATTACAGTCTGTGCACTTGGGGGAGCACAAGGTCTATTTTCTCCTAGCAAACCCAGGGCACAAGGTACCCAGACATTCCAAACCCGTGAAAAAAATGCAGGAATTGGGCTTGTTTTCGGCTGAATTGGCTTGTGAGTTGCTTGTTGGCTAGTTTTTGGCTTGTAGCTTTTTGCTTGTTTGGCTTGCAGCTTGTTGCTGCTTCTTTTTTTTTTCTGATTGGCTCCTGGCAAGCAGGGGCAAGGAGGGGAGAGAGAGTTAGGGGTGCACAGCAGGCCTACCCAGTCCTTTCTGGACGCAGTCTGGATCTAGTCACCTAGAGTATTGGGGTTCTTAGGGATTGGCTTGTTTTGGCCTTGTTTTGAAATGGGATTAGCTTTATTTTTGGTTTATTGTGAACATCAGCGTGCTTTTTTTACCCCGTGAAAGTTGGCAACTGTGAAGGTACCACAAAGGGGACAGTGAGGAGGCACAGCCATGACCTCCAACACCAATGTACTGGTCAGTGGAGCTGGCAGGGTACAGAAAGGGTGGTATGTTACACCACAGTGTAGCATGTGGATTGTCCCTACATGGCACAGAAAGTGACAGACAGTGACTTCATACCACTCCCAACATGGGTCAGTGCCAATTAGTCACAATCTGGCTGTCTCTAGATTAGGTGAAAGGCAGATCTCCCTTCTTCTGGCATGCTGTTTTGCTAAGGTGACTTGCTAATCATGTTTTATTTTTTTTCATAAAAAACAATCACTGCCATCTTATTTTTCAAACGGATGTATTTAGTCTTTATTGTTTGTAAGATCAATATTTTGTTTTTCTTCATGTAATAGACAATAGGCCAAATAATAAAATCATGCTCATTATACTTCCTGAGGATTTGGCCCAATCCCCCTGCGTAGCTCTCTGTGGTTTGAATGGAGCTGCAATGAGTAAGGCTGTTTTTGTTTAACTTTATATAGCCCCTTATCTTACCACAACATTTTTTTGTTTAAGCACAAGTATCTCCCATGAACTCAGCACAGCTAGTTCTACTCTATTCTGGCCTAGAAGGAAAAAAACAGCTCTCCAGACCAAAGATAATCTCCCCTTTAGGTCTGGGAATAGAAATTGTTAGCTAATTGCTGCAGCATAGGCTCTTGTAACTGTGGCGTGAAACAATTTGTCATAGTAAAGTAAGTCATTGCTTAAAATAGTAAACAGAAAAACTGGGCCAAGCCCTCACATAACATAACAGTAATGGCCAAACACATATAGCAGGGGGCCTCCACAAAAGCAAACATATTTTAAAGGTGGTGAAGAGAGGGTCAACTATGGTCCGAGAGCTAAAGGGTAAAACTTATTGCTCTCTAGTTCAACCACCTATTCATCATTTATTTATATCATGGTAGCATCTAGAAACCACAATGAAAAACTAGGGCCCCATTGTGAAAGGCGCTGTTACAGAGAAATAACAAGGAAGACAATCCTTGCACCAAGCAACAGAGGGTCCTGTGGCACCTTTAAGACTAACAGAAGTATTGGGAGCATAACTTGCAT